AAACATTCCAAGACTAAATTATGTTTTTAGAGAATTTCTTTATTGTTTATTTGTTCTTTATTTTGGACGTACTTTTTACCATCACATAAAACTACCTAACTAATCAAACTGCTGTACGATCCCATCACCAGCATCCCTATTATTAATCCGTTGAGTTAAACTGCTGACAGGGCAGCAGTAATCACCTTGCTGGACAAACCACTCCGTGTGACACGTTGATGATTAGGCCTGAGTACAGTGAGGCAAATTAAAACAAGCCACGCAAAGCAAGATGGGACCAAAAGACCAATTACCCCTCAAAGATAGACAGCAACTGCATGTTGCAACTGAAACCAACATTAGCAGCCTCTGAGAAGTAGACCTTCATTTTGGAGCAGCTCAGCATCTTCAGTATGTCCGATAAATTCAGGACTCTAGCAGCTGCTTAGCTCAGGTAATCAATCTGTGGGTCATTCTGACCTCGGCTCTCCCCTGACAGTCTCCTCCCACCTTTGGTATACTGCAGCATCTCATAGAACATTGCAACAAATAGGGCATACATGGCAATTAAAAGAGAGGGAGAGAGAGGCTAAATGTATGGACGAATAATTAGGGGAATAACTATGAGACTGTCCATCACATCAGGGTAAAAAAGGATTCCTTAAAGGGTCGTTTCACCCATAATACAAAAATATGTCCAGATCACCTAGCTATTGGTAAGGTTTATCTGCCCACATTTAAACAATGTCCTCAATGTTACTTAACATGGAAACACAGGACTCTCACGGATGATCTCACAATCTTTCTGATAAGTCATGTTTTGCTAGTAATTTTGGCATGCGGGACAGGTCTAAATAAAATACCCATGAGCCTCAGCCACCATTGGCACAGACAAGATGCCAGTCTTTGGTGCGATATTATTTTTCCCACCAGATTTTAGACAAATCTGCCTCTGATTGGCTCGTACTTGTTGCCTCTGTTGGTTAGGTTGAGATTAGGGCGGGGTAAGGGTTAGCCAATCAGTGGCAGAATAGGGTGAGGATTTAATGCAAACCTGGGGCAAGTTCAGCGCCGACAAAATGTAGCAAAACGTTTTTTCCAACGGAAACAGTGGTGCCTTTAACACCCTACTGTGTACGCAAGAGCACTGCATTTTCCTGCCTTTTTAACACTGTTGTGTTTACAAACTTGTCGCAGTTGATTGGCTAACACCTGAGACATGCCCACCAAATGGGAGAAAACATACCTCGAAGCCATCATTCAATCAGAAAGCGATTCAAACCGGTGCCAAATGTTTTGAGATTGAACTTGCCCCTGGTGTGTGTCAAGTGAGAGTTGTCAAAAATCTGTGGTGGGAAAAAAAATATCACGTAGGGATTTCCAAACACTTCACAGATGAGAACAAAACACAGGGATACAGTTGCTGAATTCACCCACAATTGTTTTCACAATTTTTTTTTCAGTTTTCTCAACTTGGTAGTCTTTAGCTTCCACTCACCATTAGCGGCGCATGTAACTTAATTTTAAGCTCGGTGACTGGATGTTTCTTGTGCACCTTGGGAGTCGAAGTAAATGTCTACCTTAAAGTTTTTATGTACATTTCTTAATCTTTTGTACTGATTTATCCGGGAGAGTTTCATGCTATAACTGTGAGTCATGTAACATTGTCTATGGGAAATCTGAGATACTATTACTCCCAGAATCAGGGGCATCTGAAATAAAGTCAGAAATGGAGGAAGTTATCGTAGATTTTTAGCTGTGTTGCATCATAGCTGACCGTTTGCTAGCTCGGAGAGATTTTTTACCCCCATCAACATCTCTTCATTGAATGAAATGATGTACAGCGCATGAGAAAAAAAAAATAATAGTGAGGCGTAAATAGCACAGTACCAGAAAACACAAAGAAGCTCTGAGACACAATGTGACTAATGCTAGTATGCTCCCAGCTTGCTAGTGTTTTTTTCTAATCATTATTATTATTATTAGCAGTAGTAGTTGTAATAGTAATATTAGTATTAGTATTGGTATTATTCAGATGACCAACCCTTTTAAGGAACCAGAACATTCAACTCAAAGATGGAAACTGTACAGTATGATGAGACTGTATCCACCATGCTATACTTACATTTGGAGTTCAAACTAAATTTACACAAGCATCAGCTGCAAATTATATGTGGCCCGCTGAGTCAACCTAGTGTACAGCAGGAAGCCCAGTCTAAAACACACGCTCAGATCAAAGCATTAAAGGATTTTATTCCTATCATGCTGTGTTGAGTAAGAACCAGCATTTGAATCAAAGTATACAATGCAGTGTTTCCAATTTGTTACTCACAGTGACTTTGAAAAACAGTTAAGTTCATGGAAAGGCAACTGCAATGCAATATGATGAGACACAAGGAGCTAATTAGCGCTTGTGTCCCACGCTGAGGTGGCAGAGCTGTGGTTGTTTTGGTGAACAATTGTCAAGATTGCCTATTCTGTTTTGTTCTCATTAAGGAGACCGGGTTTCTCTCTGTGTATCTGTGAAGCAGAAAGCCATGTAATAGACAATGGCAATGGCATTAATATCTGATATACATGACAGGAAAGAATTGCTGCATATGATTTACATAACCTGTGGGGAGTTTCTGCTTCAACTGTTGCCTGTCAGTGGAGGAAATAACTGTCACTCTCCGGTGATTTAGTCTACTATAGCCTCTACTATACTCATGTCGTTCTGAAGATGTTACACTATACTGAGCCTGAACCACTCATCTTGTCAAGTGGAGAGTTTGAACTGTGAATGGCCAAAGGGGAAATCACAGGAGGAGAAATGACTTTACGATGAAAGGTGCCAGTAGCAGAAAGAACAGAGAATAGTAGTGAGCAGGTACACACTGCTGAATGAATAGAGTATGCCATGCTAAAAAGACATCTCACAGCAGCAAAATCCCTCCCAGGAGCAACAATCATTGAACGGTGCTCAGCACACCATGGCCACAGACAACAAATGGCTCGCCACTGATCACAGCAATAGCTACTCACACTGCATAACTAAAGAGATGATTAATCTGCTTTGCGGAATGCCCTAGAAAAGCCTCCCTGTCTCCAGCCGCTTCAATCTGTTTGTGTACAGAGATGATCTTAGATATAGGGCTTTTGTTTGCTGAAACACCTGCTGCCCAGTGCCACCCGCATCGTACAGTGCTACCTCTGACTTCCCACTGAGGTATTTGTCCACAGCGTACAGTAATTGCAGTGATCTGCCAAGTGATTAATTTCCTAATAATTGCTGAGGCTATTCTGTGTCACACTGTGCTGCTGTGATTCTGCTCTGCTTTCTGTCAAGTCAACATGATTTAAACAGCAGTAGTAAAAGACAACACTTCTAACATAAAAACAAAAGATACAAATAGAGATAAAAGTAGGAGGAAGTAAAACAATGGATGATATGAATAAGATATGTGGTAAGTGCATCACATCCTGCATGAAACAGCAGTTCTGCCAAGATAAAGGCTTATGTCCATCCTTAAAACTGAGTTACTCATTGTCAGAAGATTCAGTGTTCAGAAGAGCTGCAAGTGTAAGCTTTTGTTAAGTGGAGAACAAGGGAAAATGCGCACAAGCAAAGCACCGTGCAACAAGAGGTTTTGTTATGATACAACAAAATACTTAAAAATCCCTTTTATCAATAATGCTGTTGAGTTTCAAGTTGCCACAAACCCAGGCTCCTGTACATTGTCCGCTTGCTTTGCATTTAATCTAACATATTGATTTATCAGAAGTCCCGGCATGCCAAATGACTATCCAGCCCTCCTTTCAGTTTCCCACCTGAAAGCTTTAATAGAGCTCTGTTCTTAACTGACACTTATCTTAAGGGTGTGTTGACAGTTCCCAGGATTTATTATGTCACTTTGCGTATGGCACATCCTTCAGCGAACTAATTACACTGCCCATCAAAGCGGTTACCCCATCAGGCCAAGCTTTGTACCTTAACGTTTATTTGTGTGCCTGCAGACATGGAGAGGGCTACATGTTTGACCTTGACATGTCAGATGTCATCTTTTTTGGCAGCTTTGGTTCTCCCTTCCACCTTTAATACTCTAGACTTTGAATGACAGGAATGAGCTTTGTAAGCCACTGTTTTAAACGTGTTTTAAGTAAATGTAGGTGATAAAAAAAAAAGAAAGAAATAAAAACGAGGATGAATCAAAACTGCCCCAAATGAAAAAAGCAACAGAACATTTCATCAGGTACGGTTTGTTGAGTGTCACTTTGGTAGGCACATAGAAGGTGATTTATTCACTTTATTTCCAAAACGTATTGCATACTTCAGGAATAAATACATTAACAGAGCACTAGAAATCAATAGCAATAAAGTGAAGGGAGATGGTTTATAATAATGCGTTTATCCCTTGCTTGAATACAAGCAGTTAATCAGGATCTGCTTGGCCTCTCGATGGTTTCATTTGGATGGGATTAAGCCCCACATTTCTCCCAGGCCTGAGAGATTTAATCGGAGAGAGAGTTCAACTACGGTGTCGGAACAAAATCAGACGATGACCAGCCTGGGATTATATTGGCGGATGTGGAAGTCTGATGTCAGGAGCAACCCACATTCTGGCTCTTTTTTGATACAAACATAATCTATGCAGGAAATGCCCTTTGACTGCATGCAAACAAAATACAGACATGATGCAAAGGAACTCTATTACTCGGAGGAGTCTCTTGAATATGGATATGTGCCGTGAGAGATATGTGCTGCCAGGGTGTCTGTCGGTGCATTTGAACCATTTGCCTCCCTCCCAGTCTCCATCTGGACATCAGTGGATTACTAACATAAAAAAACAAGTCACAAACTGAGTCATAAATGTTATAGCTGCCCAAAAGACAAATCACTTACTTTAAAAACATTCAGCTTCATACCCCTGATTTTACTAGTGAAGATATATGAAATCTATAATCAAATCCTTGTATTGTAAGTACAATACTGAACTGAATAATCGAAATATTCAATTCAATTTCTTATGCTTGTCTTATAGTGTCGAGCTGGATTTCAAGCAGCAGGAGGACAAGCTACAGTCCCTGATGAAGAGACTTTGCCCCCTGGACAGTCAACAATGCCCCGCTCTGCCTTACTCCAATGAAGTGTTCACATCCACCCCAAAACGCAAGTCCAAGACAGAGTCCAAAAAGCATGCTCGTTGGAAACTCTGGTTCCTTTGAGTAAAACATCAAGGGCTTTGGGAACAGCCTTTTCATTGGGCACATTAATACCCCTGTTATTCTCACAATGAAGGAGGGAGTATTCAGAGGGAGCAATCAACATATGAGAATGGATAACGGCAGAAACCAGTTCATTTGAGGTTCTGAGTTGAGACTGCACATTAAGTCAGCTGGTGGACAGCAGAGACAAAAAAATTTGAATCCTGTCAAACCTTTTTCTGGCATGTTTGCTGAAGAGGACCGACACACACCTGCAAAAACTAGGTGAGCTTTGGGATACATTTTTGTACATGTATTTTTTAAAGATGGAGGTTATATATAGTGGTTAAATGCACCTCTCACTTTATATTTACGTATTTTTATTGCATCCTTCAATGCAATGCACTCTTGGTCTTTTTCCCCTTAGAGCATATTGCTTGGCAACAAGAGGAGGCACCATGTGGAGGTCCTTTTATGAGTGAAGCTATAATGTTTGAATGGACATCATCCCCACCTCCGGCAAAGCACAAACATTTTACTATTGGGAGGAATATGAGTAAAAGACTGAAAAACAGAACAGTACATGGCAGTATGTCAACCCTGTCAATTCTTTCATTTTCCGTCTTATCTGTTAGCACCCCGCTCAGCCTGTTTGACTGAATGTCTGCCTACCTTTGTACAAAACCCTGTGTATTCTCTCCTGTTCTTCTTATCTGTTAACATCCTACTCAGCCTGTTTGACTGAATGTCTGCCTAACTTTGTACAAATCGCTGTCTATTCTCTCCTCTTTCTTTTTATCTATTAAGATCCTGCTTGGCCTACTTACCTGAACATCTGCATACCTTTGTTGATAACACCTGTCTCCTCCCTCTTTTTGTAACTTAGTCTCTTTTATTCTCTCCATTTAGCTCACTGTGCAACCAATCAACTAGCCAGCCAACTTTGCCTCAGTCACTGTGTCCTTTTCTGTTGGTCACACTCACACATCATTTTCAGAACTTATATTTTAGAATATCTGCATCTGTTGAGCAAAGTACTCTGTAGTGACATTTTAAAATATATATGTTTGGGCCCCTCCTCTTGCTGAAAATGCAACAAGTCTTCTGGGTTTGGTCAGATTTTTTTAACAACATATATTATGTTTTGACTTCTTCAAAAGACAGAATGTTTTCTATGATCTTAAACAGTGTTTTGAATTTCTAACAAAAAGTAAAGGCTATTTTGACATTTCTCTCTTCGAGTCCATTAAGAGTTTGCATTGCCTCTCAGTCACATTGTGTCACAGCAAAGCTCCGATGTGAAGTATTGAACCCAATTTATTTTTAAGTGATCTGTTTTATGTCCAGTTAGCTAACACTTAAAGTGTTGTTCTGTAATATTGATTTATCTTGCCTTTCAACTGCATGTTCCATCTTGTAAAATGAAACAACTTCTTTTTTTTTTCACAGAAGACATCTGTCTACCAGCCCACACAAACAACTGTGCACTGAACTTGCAAGAGTAGAAGGGCTATATACAGTGCTAAAGGAGTATGGTAGCAATCTTACAGCAGAGAAGACCTGTAGCCATCAGCTTTGGTTAAGAACAAAAAAACAAAACACTGATGATGTAGCAATGATATTGAACTTCCACGCTGTAATAAAGCAGGTATTTACTGAATTTAAAAGTAATTTTATAACAGCAGCTCTTACATATATATTATGGCATAATTAAATATCCAAGAAATGTCAGGAAAATACATACTGGCCTCCCATCTTTAGACTACGCAGTAGATTACATTATTCAGGTCACCAATGTCCAATTGTCCATGCAAAGATCTGTACCCTGAGAAAGTGCAATTTAGTGATTATGTGCAATATTATGCATTTTTCTACTGTTTCTACGTCACAATTAAAACATTTTCAACTGAATGATTCAGTGTGCTGCTATGTCTACTGAATGCTAGATGCAAGAGTTTTTTAAGTGTAAGGAGCTATTTTGGGCACTCCTGCGTACGAAATTAAGTTCCATTACTTTTACCATACAATGTTACGTTGACTCGCAGTTGAAAGAGTTCTACGGTTTTGATCAGCATTATACTCTCTCATTTAAATTATCAGTTCATTAACATGAAGATACATGGCTCTTTGATTAAAAGTTGAGGGTACAAGCCTGTGTAAATTTCATCGGAGAAGTAAATTAGGAATCCAATCACTCAGCTTAAAATGTCATGTGCACTGCTAACAGCGGGAGGAAGCTAATGATTACGGTGTTAAGAAAACTGATTTTGCAATCACTTAAATCACTTCCACTTAAATCAGTTCACTTTTAATTTTGGTGGTCACAATGACAAAGCGTTTTGAATTCTCTACCAATCTGGTTCACACCCCTGACTGGCTTCTGACTAGCTTCTTCTCCATAGCAAAGGTGGCTGAGGCTCCTTTAATAATTAAAACTAGTGAAATAACATAAACCTGATTATTTCAAGATGATTATCCAGGAGAGTCCCATGTTTCTATGTTAAGTAACATAGAGGATATTGCTGAAAGAAAAATTTGACTTCCACAGCCAGCAGCCCCTCCCACTTCACAACTCTATGTGACAGCAGACAACTACACCAGTCCAGAGTGTAGTTACAGTCAGAGCTACTTTCACTGGGAGTCAAACAATCCATATTTTACATCTTTTGTGCTTTAGTGAAGCAGAGTTGGACCATGACCAGGGCTCAGCAGCAGTGCAGTTGAGCTCCTTTTCCTCTCTCCTAATGTGATTAGTCCTCAGTAGCAAGAAGAGACACAACCTTCAAGTCAAGAAGGGAAGCGAGTGGAGGTTGCAGTCCATCAAACTGAGTGACCTGATCCCACATTGAACCCTCTCCCATGATTACCCCTGCTGTTTCTGTCTCTTTTATTCTCCTCAGCTGATTCACTGTAGCTTTTATTTTACCAATGTCCTCTATTATTTGATTCCTACATCATTTCCTTCCTCAATTTTTTCCCTTAGCTCATGTTCTCTACATTTGGCCCTCCTCAGCCGTCTGCTTCTTACTCTGAAGCACGTAGAAGTTCCCATTTCAGTTTCTGTTTACAAAAGCCAAATTAGTCTATTGATCAAATGCAGTTTAGAAAAATGCTTTTTACTTCCATTTTTGGTATTATTTATGCCGCTATACGTCTATTATGTAAGTTGTTCCATGTTATTGAAATCATTTATTTCAGTTATAGTAAGATTTAGTGGTGTACAGATACATTTGGGTTTTGTGAATTAAACATTATTTTATGGATACAGATAAACCCAAAGTAATTCAAACGCAACTCCAAGCATATCCGCTGTCTGTAGAAAGGTCAGTAAAATATAATAATATAATAATATAAAATCATATAATGTGATTACATAAAGTATTATGTCAAAGTAAAGTGCAGTTTATTTTGTGATATCAAGGACTGTATGGTGTGGGAGCCCATTTCTGCCAAACAAAAAGAAAACATGAGACAGTAAGTCAAAAATTTACTTTCTCATAATTTTATTTTAGTATCTCATCATTTTGGCTTACTATGAGCATCATTTTTATCATGTATAACTTTTTGTCTATTTTTCCCCTGGCAGAAATGGGCATGCAAAGTATGACAGTAGTTATTGCCAAGCAAAAACATAACATAACATAAATGTCTCTTTCTAAGGTTTTCTCTAATTTAATCCCCGGCAGAAAAGCTGTGTTTTACTGCTCTTTCTGGTTCAACGTTTGGAGTCTGTTTAACCACACCCAACAATGATGTCACAATGTACTGACCACACCCTCAAGTACATTTCTAGCAAAAACAACATTTTTAGTTGGTTTTATATTGCTCTTATCCTAGGATTGATGTAAGGGTCATGGTTACTGAGGAGTACCCTAAACATTTACCAAGCACAAAGACATTACATAAGTAAGAATTCATTATGATGGCAAATACATGATTAGAATAGTGAAGGGGATATTGGGTGATAATTATTTTTTGTACCTTTTTTAAATACAACCTCAAGAGTATAGTGCATGTGTTGGATATTGCACATTTTATAATATATGCTATAAATTACATTTCAGTTTTTCTTGATGCAGATGACCTCTCTTGGATCAGTGCTTTTTGGGTAGTGTTCCGAACACTTTTGAGGAAGACCATGAGGCTGGATCCGCCGGTCCCTGTGGCATTCAGTGCAGTGCCCACACCTCTGAGTGGGCAGCCCATGCCATGGGCATGATTGCCGGGCACAACAACGTACTTGGCCACAGTATGTATGTGGTAGTTCCGTAAATCCACCAGCGCTGAGACACAGGAGTTATAGGCCTGGCAAAGATCAGAGCTAGAGTGGGCCAAGATGAAATCTCGTAGAGATGGACAGACAGACAAAGTTTCTATCAACTGACGGTGGGCAGGAGGCATGTAATCCCTCATGCGTGCCAGGAAGGTTCCTAAATAGTGAATGAAGGGAACAGAAAAGAAAGAAAGAAAGAAAGAAAGAAAATAACTATTTTCTGGGGGAAAAAAATCCATCACAGCAATCACCTGACTGCACAAACAGATTTATTTATGAGAAACATCTGAGGGGGCCAAAGGTTGAAGGAAATGCATCTTTACCTGTCTCATCCTCGTGCTGGGTGCACAGCAAAGCATCAAAGCACTGAATAGCTGAACTCTGGGCTGCACTTCCACCTGATAAGAAAATTGGCTCATTGCTTACACCTTCATACAACAGCCCCCTTGGAAGCATGGGGTTGTCTCGCCACCTAAAACAGTTCAAACCACATACATGTACTATAAATCCTTCATGAACATGCAATTAGAATCATTGTACATCTTGTTAAACATACAGTGTGGCTATAGAGAAAAGTACCAGATGAGATAAATATTAAAAGCTTTAATAACTTCAGAACGCAGGACATAAAAACGGCTCTAAAACTCACCCCGAGACAAAAATTCTCAATGTTCCATGAAACACAGTTGGATCTACATGATCTGCAAAGAGCAGACATTCGTTATTGTAATCACCTTGAATTTCTCTTCCTTTATAAAAGGCTCAGCATGTAAGTTGATTTAATTCAGACTGGGCTAGGTTTAATTTTACAAAGTAAAGTTTTGAAGGTACCATATTGTAAAAAGTGAGATTTCCATGTCTCTTTTGAAATTCAAGAAAGTCTAAGACTGTTTCAAAACACTCAATACACAGAGAAATGCACACAACCTGTATTCAGAAACTGTGCCTTTTAACGAACCGTCAACAAGCACAGACCTGCCGGACCCAGTATTCATGCCGCAAACAAGCAAGGCTCTCCTGGTCCAACCTTTTTTTGATATTGTGTTAACGTAATAATACGACACCAAGTGGTCATTGCTTTGCTGAGCTACAACTGAAGGCTGTTTAGTATATCTTGTAGAAAGTATTTTTAAAGTATTTTTAAATACTTTCTGGTGTTCCCTCCGATGTCCTCCATTTGGAAAGTCTAGAAGATTAAATTTTTGTATCCCATTCAAGTTAGTGGAGGGCTAAACCAGAGCCGACTCTCCAACTCTCTTTAGTTAGTGACTCAAACAAACTCAATTCAGTCTCTAGAAGAAAGTTGGCTTTTTGGGGAGAAGGGCCTTAAAGAGACAGGCACTAAAATGGAGAGGATGAGTAGAGGTACTGCAGCAATGCACAGGTTGAGAAAAATGTGTTTTTTGAACATTAAAGCATGGAAACATTTTCTGGTAGACAAATTGTAGTGTGAACCTGAAAATGAGCATAACATGGGACCTTTAATCTAAAACTTACTGTGAATGAGTTTGAAAGTTTCCTTCATCTTCTTCAAGGACAGAGTTACTTTGACAAGACCTTTCTGTATGTTGATTAGGTCTGAGGTTTTCATAGCATGCATCACCTCCAGAGCCCCCTGGTTAGAGTTGAAAGTTTAAAATCCATCACTAAGAGGCAAGGGATGAAGACACATTCAGTATGTGGATGGGACACAAAAAAGGAAAGGGAGAGATGGATAGATAGCATCAAGCTGAGGTTCAGATAGAGTTAACATGAAAAAGAGGAAGAGTAATAGAGGCAAATACCAACCGTTATGCCTGAACTGGCAGCCATCTCGACCAACAATGACACTATGAAAAATCCCCTGCACGTCTCACCACCAGGAAAGGAAAATATCAAGTCCATGTTCCTATTTTTGAAAATGATGTTTTGAAAACATATGAGCTCAACATCACATGAGTATCACACTACGAAAGTCATGGAAACGTGCAATTGAGAAATTCAAAACAGCTACAACTACTCACCCACTTTCCATTTCCCTAAAATGAAAATAAAACAGAATTAGGTGTTTTCAGTGGACAAAAAAATACCTAGCTATTTGTTCTATGTGAGTAACGTTACTACACCATTATAATGAATTAGTGATTGTGAAGTGTGGGTATGAAGTCAGGACATTAAATAAGGCAATTTAGGGCTGTGCAATATGACAATATCTATCATTTAACAATAGAAAAATATCTATTGTTTAAAATTGTGCAATTATACAATTATCTTTTATAGCATGTGTCACAAATTCCACACTTTACCGTAATATTTTGGTGAGGGTGAAATTAGCTTTACGTTGGAATTCGACATCTATTGAATGTCCAACTTAAAACAAATATTAAACTTGAAGCTAACTTCACCGCGGTCTGTTTTTCCACACGTGCTTGTGTTGCGAGAAGAAATTGCATTAAATATAATGAACAATCTGACACTATCCAGCAGTTCCAGCCATGATGTGCGTGTCAATCAGGTAATGTTAAATGACTTGCCCACAGACATTCAGCTTACTTTATAGTTCACCAAGACATGCTGTTGTTGTGATGTAAGCTGTAGCAGCAAGAGAGCTGTGAGAGTGGCTGTGTGGAGCTGCTGTGCTGACTCTGGGACCATCTCGTCCTCTCATGTTAGCTTCGCAGCAGCAAGCAGCGTCGATTTGCTAATCCACAACCTAAGCTAACATTAGTTACATTACAAATGCCATATTTCTTTGAATTTACGAAAAAAAGTTCTGTATCAGGATATATATCGTTATTGGGATATGAAATTACCTATATCGGGATATGAATTTTTTGCCATATCACACAGCCCTAAGGCAACTACTACTTACTCACCCTGTGGGATCCCTTAATTTCCAGTTGGCTAAAACTGAATCTGCATACGTCAGGATGGGAGGAAGGCCAAGCCTGCGGGATACCAGCCAATACGGCCAGGCGAGGGCTTTTGGGAGAATCTGTCAAACAACCATGATATTAAAGTTTCAATCCAGTCATGCTGCCATTCAGAACTTTCTGAGGTTTCTGTGCCATACTAGCGGTATGGCGTTAGGAATGGAAATGGCTGTTGGTCTGTCCACAACTTTTGGTCCAGACTGAAATATCCTGAGGTGCCCAACGGATGAATCCAACCGACTTTAAAAATTACCCTGACTTTGATTTTATAGTTGTATAGTTGTTCAAAGTTTTCAATAACAAAAATATCTCAACATCTATTGGTACAATATTTAGTACGGACATTCATGGTTTCCACACAATGTATTCTAATGACTTGGTGATGCCCAGACATTTCCTGTAGCTCCACCATGAGATTCACATTTGTAGTTTTAACTACTGGATGGATTGCCATTAAATTCAGTTCAAACATCCGTGTCTCCCTCAGGATGAATTATATTTATTGCACTTTAATGATCCCCCCTGACTTTTCCTCTAGTACCATCAAAAGTTTATTTTTTCCAATACTTTTATGACCAAACACCTGCAAAATGAATGACATTTGCATCAGCTATACTTTCTTTTTAATGTTAATTAACAAATGTAAGATGGTTACCATGGTAAACAGTGTACTTTCTAAACAGCAGCATTTTGGCATGTTGACATTTAGTAAATAGCATAGCTGGAGATAGTCTTGTGTTATGTGTCACATTGCAGCACACCTTTGATTGAAATACATATCTTTTTTTTACCGTTGCTCATTCTACTGCACTGTTGTGTTTTACCTGGGCAGGTGCATGTTGTCCTTCCTGCCATACATATCCCATGCTGATGAATCCCAGTGCTAGGTGAGCCAGCCTGAGCTCCCGATGGTTATTCAAGAGATGGGGACTCAAGACCGGCATCTGGATTAGGATCAGATTTTACGTATGTCCACATTTACAATCATGGGTTCTCAACTGTGACTGCACTTACTACATGCATTAGGAAAGTTTTGCTCGTTCTCACCTTATGAACCAGATCCCGTAGTTTACGTGACTCTATCAGATGTGTGATATTATTTGCCAGGTCCAACCACACACGATAATAGTCTGGAAGGTTAGTCTAGACAATAATAGGAATAATTTTAGAGTGTAATCAGTAACATCGTCAGCTCATGTTTACCATGGAGCCTGACCTGCATGTCAGCAAATGACTGGAGCTATCAATCAGAGAGAGAAAGCAATTTAAAAAGGATGCAGTAGAAAATTTGCTAAGCAGAAAACCCAGGGATGCCCAGATGGGAAATCACTGTATAAACAGATAAGCAGGCTATTTTTAATGCCAGTGTTTAATTCAATTCATCAATGCTGATATGTAAGTTTTGCATGTTTATGAATCCATCATTCTCATAGGCCTTTGACTTTCCACTGTATAAACATCTCAAATTTGAGCCATATTTTATTTCTAATAAATTCTGACAAGAATATCCAATTTGACATTTTAAGTGTAATTAATAGGGCTGGACGCGTTAACGCATTAATTAATTAACAATTATTTTATCGCAAATTAACGCAGTGTTTTTAAAATTATTATTATTTTGAAAGGATCAATATTTGGATCAATAACCTTCTAAAACCTTACTCAAAAACAAGCATAATTATCTGTTTTAGTCCAGGGGGACTGTGTGTGCTGCTGACCAAATACACAAACAAAGACAATAGATAAAGAGTTAATGGTGACCAAAAATGTATCTGTCTGTACAATATATACAGTCTTGCTTTGTTTCAGATCTGTTTTGACTTAAAAAAAAATACATACAGGGTATGTCTGTTGAATGAGAAAAGAAAAGATGTCAATAGTACTTACCAGTGGCTCTTCAAGGATAAATCCCAGCTCCTCAGAAATATCAAACATATCAAAGTCTGCCTGCAGTGTTTTTTTGCACTTAGTCTCCATATGTTCTGCCTTGTACTCTACTGCAGTAGTTTGGCTATGAGAGGAGAATCGCTCTGTGCGTCTGACACACAGATATTAATTGTTGAACTTGTTCTGAGCCTGCTTTTACTACCTCTGTCACATCCCCTTTTCACACTCTCAACAGCAAAGAGCCAATCAGGTTTCTTGTGCTCCAATGTCAGGAGTTCACAGAGCAAAGCAGACATTCTCTGTTTTGTACATGAAGCAATAACAAAATAGTTAGATATTATGTTTATATCAAGTTTACATGACTTAACCTTATATATATTATTATATTTGAGCCAATTATTGAGACTAATAGGAAAAGATTTAATAATGCACATAACTGTTGTGTCCAAACTCAAGGTACTGCAATGAACTATTGAAAAAAGAACTGCTTATGTTGATTCCTCACCACTGTAAAACATTTTGACTTTCAAATGTGTTTATGTAATCAGAAAGAAAAGTCTTTGTGGATAATGGTTTCGAATTTGCCTCACCTGCCTTCTACATATGCACACATCTTTATGTTGTTGCTCTGTAACACAAATACTTGACAAACCAACTTTGTTTTCATATATTAAAGTTACATGTTGTCTTAATATTCAGATATTATTCATCAGTAGGTTTCTTAAAGTCCACAATAAGAGAGGGAGCTGTAGACAAACTTTTTTGCAAACTTAACCCAAATATGTCATGGAGTTAAAATCGTCCTTCCACCTCATTAACTGATGGACTAACTTCCAAAAATCAAACTGTAATGTAATCTGTTTTATCTGAGTGTTGCTCTTGTAGCTGACAGCTGACAAGACAGAGGATGTTAGTTTGAGAAAGGTGTCTCAGACAATGTCACTCCTTATCCACAGCAAACTACCAAAAACTGTGAAATTTGCACAAATGGATAGTCTCAGCAATACAAAACTGTTTTATATTTTCCACAGATTTCTATGTCTTGGAGGGTTCATGTGAAATGAGAAAAGATTGAGTGATTGTGTTTTATTTGATTATTTATTAAGGGTCTAACCACCAAAAGCTTCAAGCCATGTCTTCATCCGTTTCTGTTATATATTTGTCTATTTTTCTCCAGCACTCACATACAAAGACCAGCAGGGGTTTCAATCTAAGGTTTCCAATCTATCTTTGTTGCTGATGAGCCTTTATTTGTTCATTCTTCTTTAAATCAAACAGCCTTTTCCATTTCCCCCCTTTTTCTTTAATTTGCCCTAAAATAATACTGGAAAATAAAACAATAAATTTAAGAGGTAATGTTGATTTACATTTGTAATGGTAGCTCGGACCAGTACTGTTGCGATCGATACATTGACATGTAATGCAGAGAAGACATATTACTTCAGTGTGAACAGTCTTCTGGTAATGACATACTTAATCATTCATTTAGTAGGCAGTATGCAGTATATATATGTAGTAGGCCGTATGTTAGTATGTGATTTCAAACACAGCTTAACTTACTTCTAATGCAAACCGACCATTTCCTACTGCTGCAGCTTCACATTAAAAGCATTTAACTGGTGAAACACTAGTTGACTTTTATTATGAAGTAGTTACGGAAATGCAGTGTCATCACTTTTATAATATCAGTTTCAAGGAAGAAATAGCACCATTAAAAAAAACTTACTGGAGGTCCTCGACTTTGTCGGTGACTGAGAAGGAAGGTGATTTGGTTTTCTTCTCCAGCAGTAAGGCCAGTGTGCTTTACGGCTACTACTACAGAGGATGTAGCTTTTATAGTGAAAAGTATGGGCACTGGTATATGTAATATCTGTCCGTTTATTCCAAAAGTTGTAAAGAAAGCAAGGGAAGTATATAATAAAGCCATAGATGGATAGATGGATGAACCTAGTTAAAGAGTAACAGCCCGGACAGGATGCTCTTAGTAGAGCAAACCTGTCTGCAGCGAGGCAGGAATCATATCATTGTTCAACACTACACCTGGGATTCTATTGGTTGGGGGATTTTGACAGGGTTATTACACAAAAAAATCAGACACCAGAGCAAATCCGTACGAATTATTGACAGCTTGTTGTCAAAGGTTTTGGTCCTGAAGCTTTAACCACTACTTACAGGTTCTTGACTTAGCATATGCCACTGTTCAATGTAGCAAACCTAAATTTAGTTATGCAATTTAACAAATTTATGAGAATTGATACCCAGTTATGAATTTTATTATTCATAAAATCAAACCAGATTCCTCGTTTCAGGGCACCACCGGAGTTGTTATAATCCTAGAGTCTCCGGACCTCTAGGTAGTTTTAATAATTATACAATTATTACTAGTGATCAGTTAGTTAATAATCGCTCAATTATCTTAAATCAGTCAGTCAGTCTCACACACAGCTCTTGATTATATTACAGTGAATTTATTCTCTAACTAATGTGATAAGAAGATGGTTGGATACAGGGAACATAAACATTTGCTGAACAATGAGCCTGGAGGTTCGATTGTGGGAAGCATTTGACTCATACGGCATAGAAGAGCTACTGAAAGTAAACTAATGCTATGATTTTAGGAGTTCAAATGGACATATCTGATCACAGACAGAACGTGTGTTAAGTCTTACTGCTTGTCGACAGTCTGCTTTTGGCCTGTTGCACGGGTCCCATTCTAGCTGCCGATCCTGGCTTTTTGCTAGGGATTCTCCAGGGTTCTCCGTGTCTGATTGAAAACGCCTCCTCCGTCTGGCAATTCGGCTGTTTTCAGGTTTTCTTCGTTGCCGCTGGCAAGACCACGTGTCTTGGTCTGACCTCGGTGAAGTTGGTTCAACGAAAAAGGCTTAAAATGGAACTTGGTCGTTCCTGAATTAGTCCAGTGTAACTTAACGGACTGATAAATTTAACAAACAAAAGAAATAAAGAAAATAAAACAATGTGAAGGGCAGATCGATGTCGCGGCACTTCAGGTGTGTAGCTTCAGGCGAAACACAAGGCCTGTTTCGCTGGTCGACTCTGAGGGCGTTGCTTGGGGAGGCACGCCACACGTGTGCCGAAGCGTCCAGAGGGCAGAGCAGAGTGGAAGAGAGCCAACAGCGAAGAGAAGAGCGCACGAGAGGTCGCGTGTCGCTCTTTTGTTGTCTGGGGCGTGGTTCCCCAGGGGGCGTCTCAGGTTTCCCAAGGGACTGCCTTTCTAAACTTAATGTCTAAAAAGAAATCTATTTGCACGTATTATAATCAAATATTTTCCACAATCGAACCTCAATGGTCAAACTGTTTTACTGTTCTGGGCATTTGGTAACAGGAAGCAATTGTCACATTATTGGTCATATATTTATACATTTAACGGCATTTCCAACGAAGGCATGTAATAGTTATTTTGGGGGAGCTCAGGTTACATGAGGAAAGCTTGGATTACTCCAAGATAGTCTCTCCTGAGGAACCGGGGAACTTGTTGATTCATCCTTAAATTCAAGCTGGCGGTTAAGAGTATCGTAAAACATTCCTTTGTCATCATTTCTAAAGGAATTTTGTAGGAAAGTATTATGAACAAGCATTGATTACATCAGATGAAGGAGTGTCTTGCTGAAAATAAAAACACTGCACAAGTAACTTTCTTTTCAGCACTAATATCAACAACAGATAGCAACAACAGTTAACATAACTACTCAAATAGAGGCAAACGTAATCAGGTAACTAAAGATTTAATTAAACTTAATTAAATGCTTTGAGTCTTTGGAGACTGCAGTCTTTGGCCATTCAAAGTTCGGCTTTTCTGGATTTTGTCACACCTAGGTGAGACAAGGAGTATCCCTTTGATGTGGTAATAAAACAAAGAATAAGGTCAGTTGCCACGGAAACATGTGTGGGGGGGCCAGTTTTGATAGGCTGTTCAGGGAGATGCCAATGGCTGGTTCGTGTCCCTTTGTCAGTTTAACAGTCAGGCCCCGCGTTATCAGCTTCGGAATCAAAAAGGTGCCAGTTTTATGGTCGGGATAGCACTTAGAGAAAGCAACTTTGACCCCTCCCCTTCTTCTCTGGGGAGGAGAAAGGAATTTAGAGTAGCTCCAAATTTATTCAGTATAAAATGCACAAATCCACACCGTTGTTCACTACATCAAGCTGGACGCTGGTGAAAGACCATCTGCCTTCCTCCAGCAACTGCAGCGCTCTTTGAATTCTGTTGTCAAAAGAGGATGCATCCTAACAAGTGAAATAGAAAAACACCTCATTAAACAAGTCTGCTGTGGAAGCTGGGATAACAGTCATGACAAATTTACAACTTGAACAGAAGAAAGACATACCACATACTTTTCAAAGCTGACCACTAACTGTTCGTCAAAAATGCATCTACACAACAAGACAAGGGGTCATTTTCAACATTGTTTGATAGTGGACTACTATGAAATATTGCAGAGAGTAATGGAACAAGAAGGAGCAGCTACAGGGAGCCATTAAATGAAGCACTGCAGGCAACAGGCTGCTAACCTCCAACTTATCAGCGAGGTAACCAACTCTTTCTTGGTTGTCTGTCACTCATTGCAGTTTCATTGTTCAACATGGTTCACAACAGTCTCATCACTGTTCATAAATGTGTCTTGTGTTTCCCTCTGGATGTTTAGATATTTGCAGTCAGTTTGGATTTAGTAACTTCTCACTTGTTCATGTATGGATTACTTTGATATTGCTTTTGGACTGCCTGACCCACATTATTTGTAAGTTTGACCCATCTGTGTTAATAAACCCCACTAAACTATAACTCTGTCTTGCTAGTGTCTGCATCTGGGCCCAAAACCCCTGTTTATGGTGCCTTTGTATCTGACTGAACTAGTTTCACTGCTGAATTCCAAACTTGTTTTTACATGTTTGTGTGTAGATTAAACAAACAGACTCAATTCCTTTATTAATGAGCTACAGATTTTGCCTGAGCAAAGTTAGCTGTTTCCCCCTGCTTTTAATAACTAAACTATCCTAAGCTAATCACCTGCTGGTTCTAGCCTCATATTTAGAGTACAGATAAGAAGAAATATTGATCTTCTAATCTACTCTAAGGAAACGGAATAATTGTGCTTTCTAAAATGTTGAACTATTCATTCAAATCTTGTCTGCACCTACTGTACTCTTACAAGTACAA